ACACACACACACCCCCACCCACCCCCCTGACCGTCGGCTGACAGAATCCAGGGAAGTCTGGCTTTTTGTGCTCTGGAGGTGTGGCTTGCTGCAGGATGATGGCTGGAGGGAGATGGACACTTCTCGCTCTGCTTTTCCTCCTGCAATTCCTACTCCCTGAAGCCTTCAAGATTCTGATTCTCTCCTTTATCGGTGAGTGCTCAGATAGCCAAGGGACAGCACTGCACAAGAGTCTTGCATAATCTTCCAAGCTTTTTTAAAGCACATGCATGTTTTCCTCTGACAAATTATAAGGGACTTTTTGGTCTCTTGAATGGGACAGTTAGCAGTGCATGCTTTTAAAGGAGTGCCTAAGCTGGGAGAGTGTTTTTCTCAGAGATAAGAAAAGAAGAAGGTTGAGTAGGTAGCAATGGGAAAGAGCAGAAGTGATACTTCGGAGGAGTCTCACACTAGCTGGCCAAAAGATACTTTGACTGGAACATACTTCCGAGGGAAGTCTTAAGCATGGCACATACTGTGATCTCTGTTTACAGGACATGTATTCCAATGCTCTATGTAATCTTTTAAAAATCCACATTACTGCACAGCATTCAGATCTATTCTTACTCTGGAATGGGAGTGAATATGTATTCCTTTGTTTACTTTGCCTTTTTGCAATATTTCATTTGGAATGTCATGGCTGTTCCATTAGCTGGGAATTTAGCCAAGTGAACTCTCCCCAGATTACTTTGCCAATCATTAGACTTGTTGCCAAGGTAGGAGTGTTATTTCTGTCATACAATAAGGAGGACTGTTAAACTGAGGTTACAGCAAAACAGTTGTTATGCACAGCAATTTTGGCATCAGTAATTCAGATCCTATGGGCCTTCAGCAAATATCCTTTTAACCAGCAAGTTGAACTTGTGAGGAAATATCCCCGGGTGGAGCCTCACTCCAGCCCCAGGAACAGCACACACTCTGTTATTTCATAGACTAACAAAGAAAAAAGAATAGAGAAAATAAAACCAAAGTAACCCTTTCACATTCCTCTTTTCACTCACCCAGACTAAATACAAGCACACAGAACCCAATTCTGACGTTCTTCAGTGCAAACTTTTCCTGAGTAAAGATTCTGAGCCTATCCTTCTACAGCTTATAGGAGAACAAAGAACTGGGAATCAGGGATCTGTCAATGTATCTTCTCCTCTTTCTTTAAGTCTGCGTCAATGTTTCGAGGGTTTTTCAGAGGCTTTGGATAGAGCTGAGATGCATCCACACTACAAAACATGAGCCCCTCACATATCTATGGCTTTCTGAAGGATGCTGCAGTGCTAGAAGTCTCTTCTGCAAATCCACTGAGTTGGAGGAGGAAGGCCTGGGTCAGCCTATGGGAGTAGAGTGTTATCTTTCCAGCAGGCAGAGAAATTAGATTAAAAACATGAAATACTCTGGCTGGAAGGTGGCACTACTTTTATTCTTAGAACCCAAAACAAGAACTTACCCTGACCAAAAGCAGAGACACATAGAGTAAGATGCTTTGTATGGCAGGAAGGCACAACTCACCCACCTTGTTTGAGGCTGTTTTTTCCCATACTGGCTGCTGCTTTCATCCCAGATCACATGCTTTACTACAGAGTGCCCTGAGACCTGCAAACTGGATGAGGAACACCACACTCCACACACCCCAACTCTCAAAGTGATGAATTGCAATACCAACACCATCCTTAATATGCCACATTCAACTCAAAAGTGGGCATGGAACCAATGCAAAAGAGCAACGGGAAGGGGGAAGTGCAAGCTAGTGCCCCTTAAATGGAAATATTGTGTGTGGGCAAAGGGTGGATTTTTTCTATCACCCCCTCGTATTTTCTACTCCTCCAACACTCTTGCAGTAGTGAGAGAAAGACCCCAGAATGGTTTCCCCTATACACATGAGATAAGAGTGGGACTCATAGCAGGGGCTACAGTGGTCATTGCAGCAGAGGAAATGGGGTGATTATGTGTGGGGCAGGTAGGATTGCCCAGCCTAAAGTCTTTTTTCAGACACAGTGGGTCCTGGCAGAAACACTGGGACAGAAGCAGGAGCTTGTGCATTAGCTGCCAGGTTTGGGGATGGAATGGGTTGTCAATTAAGAGTCTATAAAATTGGCATTTTACAGTTTGTAGAAGTAAAATTTAAAAAATAAAAGTAGAAACACATTGGTCTTAAAAACACTGAACACAGTTGTGTCAATTGTTTCAAATGGGGTTACCATGGGGGGGGGGGGGGGGGGGCCACTGGGGGGGGAAGCCCAATCTAGCTTGTTTACATGGCAAAATTATAAATATCACTGCAAATGTCTCAATTTCCTGTTGCTTTGTTTGAAGTCAAACTTTATATTTGCCAGAATTATCTACATATTGCAATGGTAATTGTATTCAATAATATGTCATGGTTTTTGTTTAATCCATAGGAGGAAGCCATTATCTTATAATGGATGAAATCTCAAATGTGCTGCATAATAGAGGTCATGAAGTCAGGATGTTACTACAGACAGGAGTTCTAATGATCCCAGGTAAAGGCACCTTTCTAAGAAAAACTTATGACCCAAAGTAATATCCATATTCTATTCTAAGTAATAAAAGTGTATGCATAGCAAGTGCAAACTAGGCTCTCATCATTCTTATAGTTTTTCCTCATATTTAAGGTCCTTAATCTTTTCCATTATAAATTCATTTTCAAATTTCTTATAGAATCACAGATTCACAGAAGGATTAGAAGAGACCTCAGGAGGTCATCTAGTTTAACGCCCCCTGCTCAAATCAAGACAAACTGCAACTAAATCATCTCAGCTAAGACTTTGTCAAGCCTGGCCTTAAAAACCTCTAATAATGGAGATTCCAGCATGGCCCTTAGCAATCTATTTGCCACACCACTCTTCTAGTGAAATAGTTTTTCCTACTAGCCAGCCAATCTAGATCCTCCCCACTGCAACTTGAGACCATTGCTTCTTGTTCTATCATCTGCCACCTTTGAGAATCGCCTCTTTGGAATCCCCCTTCAGTCAGTTGAAGGCTGTTATAAAATCCCCACTCACTCCTCTCTTCTGCAGACTAAATGGCTGTGTCTAGACTGGCAAGTTTTTCCAGAAAATCAGCTGCTTTTCCAGAAAAACTTGCCAGCTGTCTACAGTGGTCACTTGAATTTCCGGAAAAGCACTGACGATCTCATGTAAAATCATCAGTGCTTTTCCGGAAAAACTATGCTGCTCCCATTCGGGCAAAAGTCTTTTTCCGAAAGACTTTTGCCCAAAAGGGCCAGTGTAGACAGCATAGTTCTGTTTTCTGCAAAAAAGCCCCGATCGCGAAAATGGCGATCGGGGCTTTTTTTGTGGAAAACCTAGTCTAGATTGGCCACGGATGCTTTTCCTCAAAAAGTGCTTTTGCAGAAAAGCATCCTGCCAATCTAGACATGCTTTTCCGAAAATGCTTTTAACTGAAAAATTTTCAGTTAATAGCATTTTCGGAAAATCATGCCAGTGTAGACGTAGCCAATAAGTCTAGTTCCCTCAACCTCTTCTCATATGGCATGTGCCTCAGCCCTCTAATTATTTTTGTTTCCCTCCACTAGACTCTCATCATTTTGTCCACATCTTTTCTGTACTGGTGGGGAGGGCAAAACTGGACACAATACTCTAAAAGTGGCCTCACCAGTGCTGAATAAAGGAGAACAAATCACTTTCCTAGATCTGCTGACAGTGGTCCTACTAATGCAGCCCACTAGGGCACACAGTTGACTTATAGTCAAGTTTCTCATCCACTGTAATCCCCAGGTCCTTTTCTGCCCAACTGCTGCTTAGCCAGTTGGTCCCCAGCCTGTAACAATGCTTGGGATTCTTCCATCCTAAGTGCTGGACTCTGCACTTATCCTTGTTGAACCTCAGCAGATTTCTTTTGGCGCAATCCTCCAATTTGTCTAGGTCACTCTCGACTCTATCCCTACCCTGCAGCATAGCTGGCCTCTGTAGGCCTGACACATAGTAGTAGTAAAATAGGCTTTATTTTATAGCTTTGTTCTATTTTATCTAATCTAATCTATCTTTTAGTGTGTGTCTGTCAGTCTGTGTGTCTTTCTGCAAGACCATTTGTTCAAGAACTCCTAAACTGTAAGAGGTAAAACCCTCAAATTTGGTATGCAGCTTCCTCGTCTCCCAACTTAACACAATGTCAGGGTTTGGTTGTGCCAAGACAACTGGAAGCCCCAGGACAGCTTCCCATAACATTCAAAGAGAGGGGCTGCTTTTCTGAGGCACGTGATATTAGAGTGGCTAGGGAGGGCAGTGAGCCCGGAGGGGAGAGCTATCTTGCAGCATGTCCACTGGGCACTGCCATAGCACCAAAGGGAGTGGTCAGCAGGGCTGGTGCTCTGCCATCTTGCCTACCAGCCCACTGGTAAGTAGTTCCCCCGCCCTGAAACCTTCCCTTCCCTCCTACCCCTTGGCCACAGCACCAGATTGGGGGGTAGGGGGGTAAAGAACAGGCCACTGGCAGCTGGGGGACTTAGGGAGAGGAAGAAAACAGGCCCAGGATTGACTGCGTGAGAAAGAACAAGCAGAGTTACCAGGTGTCCGGTTTTGAACCAGACAGTCCAGTATTTGAGCTTTCTGTTCGGGAAACAAATTGAGAAAATATTTTCTAAATAAGAAGTAATGTAGATTGTGATGTAATGTCAAGTGTGTCTGGTATTTTTGTTGAAACCACCTGGCAACCCTAAGAACAAGCCCTCAGTCGGCTGGGAGGGTGGCCTGTGGGGGAGAGAACAGGACCCCCGGTTTTGAACCAGACAGTCCAGTATTTGAGCTTTCTGTTCGGGAAACAAATTGAGAAAATATTTTCTAAATAAGAAGTAATGTAGATTGTGATGTAATGTCAAGTGTGTCTGGTATTTTTGTTGAAACCACCTGGCAACCCTAAGAACAAGCCCTCAGTCGGCTGGGAGGGTGGCCTGTGGGGGAGAGAACAGGACCCAGG